ATGCAAGTCTGCAAATTTAGGAACTTATAATTTTTTCATGCACTACTTTCTTCTCCTACCGATTCTAAAAATAAAATGGGATGTACCCAATTGAGGTCTTCCGTTTCCAACGGAAAGGACTGATACAACTCGATGGTTGTCCAAGCTTAGCTAATGGACCATTGTTTTAGTGATGATAAAAATGAAAGTCTTGTCCAGTACGGGGCGACATATGCTATTGCTTGCAATAGCAGACTTTCTAGTTCTTATTATTTTTTCTTCCTGGGAAAATTTTGTCCGCGAGTGATCTTGATTTTTTTTATCCGACTTAGGTGAAACCTTTTTAGGGTAAGTAGGCATGTTATGTAGATTTGCGGAATCAAGGTCATTTTGCGCTCACGTGCTTGCACGAGCGCGCACGTGCAAAACTTGAAATGACCAATATATAATGGATATAACCCTAACTTCTCTATTTTGTGACGAAATGTTTTGAAACTTATAACGTAAGGATATATTAGTAGTATGCACAAGATGACATGGTCAAAATAGCAAGATCGCACGCGCATGCACGTGCGCTTCGCTCTGATTGGCTGAAACTAAAGTCTCAATATTTTTTTTGTTTTTTGATAAAATCATTTGAAATTTTGAACATAGTCATACATTAGGGAGATCTACAGCCTGTAATATAAGATTTTTCATGAAAGCATGTGCATGCACATGTGCTTGCAAGAGCTAACGTGCAACATGAGAAATGTCCATATATAATTGATACAGAAAGTAACTATTAAATTTATTGATGAAATGCTTTGAAACTCATTTTATAAGTATATATTAGAAGCATAGACAAAATGACATGGTCAAAAAAGTAAGATCTCACGCGCATGCACGTGCGCTTCTCTCTGATTGGCTGAAACTAAAGTCTCAATATCTTTCTTGTTTCTTGTCATAATCCTTTGAAATTTTGAACATAGACCTACATTATGAAGTTCTACAGCATGATATATAAGAATTTTCATGAAAGCATGCGCATGTCCGCGTGCAGCAATCTGATTGGCTGAAATTTTAAATGGCTATATCTACTTTGTTTTTTGACGAAATGCTTTGAAATTTAAAACATTGTCATGCATTAGGATATCCTACAATATGATATAGAAAAAAAGAAATCACGCGCATGCACGTGTGCTGCAATCTGATTGGCTTAAACTTGAAATGGCTATAACTCCCTTGTTTTTCAACCAAACAGGATGGGATTTTTGAATATAGATAGATGTAAGGGACTCCTACAAGAAGGTATGGTCATCATGCACGTGCACGCACGCGAGTGAAATGAAAAATACACTTGAAAGAGTGATTTTTCATACTTTTGGACTGAATGCTTTAATATATTGTATATTAAAATATGTAGATAGTGTAGACAAGATGATATGATCATAACGCACATGCATTCACATGCGCACGGATGCAATGCTAAAATTTGAATATAATTGGTATCCTTCTGAGAAAACGTTGTTAAAGTCAAAATGCACAGAGTTTGTCTTCTTTAATGAAGCTTACAGGGAATATGGCACCAAAAAGGAGTTGGGGAGCGTTTGGGGAACATCTGTAACGGTCCCCGTTACAATTAGCACTAGTTATTATTATTATTATTATTTTTCTTCTTCCTGGGAAAATCTTTTCCGCGAATGATCTTGTAAACTACACGTCCGACTCTGGTGAAACCTTTTTAGGGTAGTAGGCATATTATGTAGATTTGCGGAACGAAGGTCATTTTGCGCGCACGTGCTTGCAAGAGCGCGCACGTGCAACACATGAAATAACCAAAATAATAGATAGATATGTCACTTTTCTATTTTTTGATTATATGCTTTGATACTTAAAATATAAGTTTATATTAGTAGTATATGTGTGATGACATGGTCAAAGATAATATCCCAAGATCTCACGCGCAAGCCTGCGTTTGCTCTGATTGGCTGAAACTAAAGTTCAATATCTTTCTTGTTTTACGTCATAATCCTTTGAAATTTTGAACTAAGTCACACATTATGAAGATCTACAGCATGAGGCCAGGTAAAATTAATCTTTAGATTCTCATCCTAGTTTGCTAAAAAATTGGGGCGGGTGGGCGGATTTTATTTTTTTATTTTTTATAATTGTTAATTTATATATAGGCCTAAGTATCAACAAAACGATGCATGGACACCCGGACTCATCTTTTTCATTACCTTAATGCAAATATGAATAGATTGAATTCCTTTCATATTCTTTTAAATATTTAAAGAAAATTTTTTTTAAAGTTAAATATTTATTGTTAATTAACAAATTATCAAGTACACATTATATGGCACACCCTGAACAAAATGAGGTAGGGATACCAATAAATTGTGTTGCTTTGACTTCTTATTTTGCAAAATCTATAGATATAAATGTTGTAATAATTATTCTACTGAAAAATCTAGGCCTTCTTTTAAGTCTGTCTACGATGTTGTAGATTTTTTTATTTCAAAGCAATAGTCACACAGCTGGAGATCGTTATATATAACTTGACCAGGTGTCATTTTCCTCGTCTATTTTTACTTAGTTACAATCTCTCTACATACTTGCTCCTGCCAGTGATGGTGTCTATATGTGTTTATGCTATTTTTTCTTCTCTGCCTTCTCTATACTGACAAATTATCTTTTCCTTACACATTTAAACTGCTTTTATTGCCGATTTTTCTCCATTCTTAACATGGCGTTTTTGTTATAAATAGCGACACGTGACTTTTATATACAAACGGGAGATAACTCTTAAACTTTGAACTAAATTCTTACTGAATAAAAATACACGAAAATACCCAAAAATCAAAATAAAAAACATCGGGGCGGGACATTCTTGAAAGGGGCGGGCGGGGATTGAATTGCTAAAGATTAATTTTATATGGCCTGATATATAATAATTTTCATGAAAGCATGTACATGCACGTGTGCTGTCAAGAGCGCGCACGTGCAACATGTGAAATTACCAATATAATGGATGAAGCCTTAACTTTTCTATTTCTTGATGAAATTTTTGAAGCTCACAATGCATGGATATATAAGTAGTATTAACAAGAGGAAATGGTCAAAATAGCAATATTTTACGCGCATGCATGTGCGCTGCGCTCTGATTTGCTAAAACTAAAATCTCAATATCTTTCTCATTTTACGTCATAATCATTTGAAATCTTGAACATAGTCATACATAATGAAGATCTACAGCATGATATATAAGAATTATCATAAAAGCACGTTAATTTATATGCTATCTGATTGAAAACTTTAAATGCCTATAACTTTCTTGTTTCTCAACCGAACAGGATGGAATTTAGAATATGTATAGGTATAATGGACTCCTACTTGATACTACTATCAAAATTGAATGCAAGGACGTGCTTGCATGTATTTGCACAAGCGCAATGCGAAAAATGTACAATGTATTTGAAAAACGGTAATATTTATATTTTTATGCCTTTTTATTGATTCTTGGAATATAAAGATATGTTAATAGTTTAGACAACATGCCATGATCACCTTGCATGTGCATGCACGTGCATTTGCGTGCAATGCGTTTAATGATTTTTAAAAAGTTGATGTCATTGTAGTAGCTTTTTAAAATTCTATTATGAAATCCTGCGATAACGGCGCATATTAAAAAAAAGTTTTAAAGGAAATTGCAACAAAAAGGGACTTGGGGAGCGTTTGGGGAACATCTGTAACGGTCCCCGTTACAATTAGAACTAGTTATTTTTAATAAGGATATGGTTTAAACTAATTTTGGAACGAATTAAGAACTTTTTTTGAATCTGACATCTGTTTTAATTTTAAACCGTGATGCAGGCGTGTTTTCCCATACACTTTTTATAGCAATGTTCCTCAATATCTTGTGATTAAATTCCCAAAAGAAGAATTAACACATAAACAAAGTAAAGTAAGAAAAAAAGTCTAAACACAAACATGCATATATCAGGATCGATTTTGAAAAAATTGAACAAAGATATTTTTCCCAATTGCAATCAAATGTGGCTATTTTTCCCAAACGAGAAGGCCAAGGCCATTGATTTTAAGACACTGCAAACTTAAAATACAATTACAGTCGTCCTTTATTGTAAAAAGTTCGTGTACTGGCATAAATATATCTAAACTTGCTAATTTCATAGTTAAACTGTTGAATACAATATTAGTAGTCGAAAAAAAAATCTGCGTATATACATGTAGTTCCTCAGTAATATCGGAATTTTACCAGTTAAAACACAATTAATATATTTAATCATCAATAACCCCTGAAACCGCTGGTTAATAACGTTAATCTTTCCGTTTCCTCCTATTATTGGACAAAAATTAAAAGTTAATGAGTTTCTCGCAGCTAAGCATGAGAAGCGCTCTGTGAGACATCATTTTCTAATAAACCCGACACACAGATTGCGTCATTTCATTGTTGAAGAAATAATACTGCACTCAGCAACATTTCAGATCCATGTGCTGTTTTTAAAAGTGCTTTGTAAACTACACAGACAAGTGCTTATTTTAAGTTAAATGCTTCTTTCTAAAGTGTGAAATCTATGATATTCTGGGTATCATTTTCTCAACATTTGATGTTTTACACATTTTACACAATGATTATTATTTTTAAACTTGAAACGACGCCCCTTCTATTTTAACAGGCACGTAGTATCGGAGATCAGGGAAGGGGTCCCGCATTCCCCCTCCATTTTTACAGCAGATATTACTAATGGTTGAAAATATTCATTGCAGGGCGGTTGCTACCACCCAACATCTACGTTTTGTTCTAGCACAGTGAAATGGTCCCTCGGTTAAGTATTAAAAAATGTGGAAAAAGTTGGACCTCCAACCCCCTCCGCACACACATACAAAATAGCTTTTTATTTACTCATGCAAGTCCTCCCTCCCCATCCCCCTTTTACACACACTAATCTTTCAAAAACGATGCTACGTGCCTGATTTATGAACGTAATAAATGCTAGAAAATAAGGTGGCATGTTAGCTATTAAGTTTTGCAACTTTGTCCTTTACCTATACATCTAAATGTGTCATAATTCTTGCATAGTCAACTTTATTAACTGCAAATATAATTACCTGTCTCGCTGTGACATCCATGTCCACAGGTCGGAGTGCCTTCCCAAACAGGTTCATGGAATGTGTTAGTCGGAGTGTGCCAATATGTTCGTTAGGGGGCGGGCTTGGTTCCCATTGGGCTGTCCACGTGTGACTTCCGAACGACCAAAGTTCGTTCCACATGTGACGTAAATCTATCCCTGACGTAATAAGGGGACTGTGAACACACTCCAAGTGCTGGAGATCCGCCCCATTTTCTGGTATTTCCTAGACAAAGACAATTTACATGAATACACAGAAACCTTTTCTCTTAAAACAAAATAATTTTACATCATGCTCAGAGACCATAGACGAGCTCGTATTATACTCCCAGTTATTCCTCTTTTACAAAAGTAAGTGAATGTATAAATCTGAGACCGAAGTAAAAAGTGAGCTCCATGGCTCCGGGGCCTATTCAAGGAGAAACTGATAGTCATTGTATACCTCTATATGACAGCTGATGTAGTGTTCGGTTCTGCCTCTGTATATCCAATTCCCATTCTGAATTTCCTCTATCCTAGGTACTGTCCACGTGGGTTCTATCCCTTCAGCATGGTACCAAAAGTAGATATAGCCATTGGCTTCGTCTGATATATAACTCTTAACTTTAGCGAACTCTGGAACTGTAAGAATGATCCGTGTTATAGAAAGAATGAAAAACAAGATGTGTTTGTGAAACACTATGCGCCCAGCGGCAACAAAGTTCAATAAACAATTTTTAGCAGATAAGTCACAGTCAAGGTCATAGATCTTGATGTCATTTGAAAGACGCATACCAAATATAAAGTCTCTACTTCTCATGGTTCTAAAGTTATGGCGAAAGTTCCAAAACGCTATTTTTAGCATATAGGTCACAGTCATGGTCACAAGGTTATTGACCTTGATGTCATTTGAAAGAACTTCATTGGTGGAGTATGCTAAATAAATATGAAGTCTCTATCTCTTATGGTTCAAAAATTATGGCGAAGGTTAAAGTTGACAACAGACAGACAGACAGAAAAACAGACAAACAGACATGACAAAAACAATATACGCCTCGGATCTATCGATCCCGGCGCATAAAAATGTGAGTTATTCATTATAAGGTTAAAATTTTGGTCAGCACATTAAACTACTAGTATATGTTGATTGAGTTCGTACCTTTTTCAGAATAAGGAATTTTTGTACATTGGCCGTCACTGCCTCTGAACTGCCAGCCGTGAAATGGGCATTCTAAACAGTCGCCCACAACTCGCCCACCCACGGCAAGGTTGGCGCCCATATGTGGGCAATAGGCATCAGTCACGTGAGCCGTCCCATCTTCTCCACGAAAAACGGCTAAATTTAAACCTGTAATGAAGCATTAATAATTTAATTAATTTTGATCTTTCACATTTTAAGGATTGATGAGGATACAGTTATCGCAAGATATAAAGACGGGAACACCATGTGCTATTGTTAATAATTTAGGGGGAAATATTGCCCATCCCAATTTCTTCAAACAAAGACCTTTTAACAAGCTTTGTTAAGTTTTTATTTCTGCATATGGGTTCTAAAGGTTCATTTAGTACACTAGTGTACAATTTTGGCATCATAGTGTTGTACTTTTGCGGGTGAAAAATCAAGACTTGAAAAGAAAAGAAATTTTAAGGTTTATATTAATTAACGTAATATTACTCCTAGAAAATAAATATCAATGGGAAAAAAAAATTAAAAAGTAGATTATAAAATTACAAAGTCAAGTCTTAATCTATATTGTTTTGTTAACTTTAATATACAAGGATAACGCGAAAAACTCTTAATATCCACACATTTCAGGTTTTTACAAATCCTAATTTAATGGGACTGCGTATCTATGTATTTTGATCAGCTGGTAACCAACATGCTTGGACAGGTGTAACGTCTCATGTAGATTGTCAAACTGACCACAAAAGCGACTAATTAATTGTAATCGTAGATTCTATTATTTTGTTGATTGACCACGACAAGAGCCCGGAGTATATAGTGTATACGAAAGGTAAAATCAGACAAGAAAACATGTCAATAGTCGCTTTAACAGGTAACAATGAATGCCATGCTCTCGGCAAACTTCAAAAGAAAACATGAATGAGGTGGGAAAATAGGAAATTAAATTACGGATATGCATTTAGTCAACGCATGAGTGAATTGTATCGTTAAATCATTTTCTAGTACCATTTAGTTTCCATTCAGATAGGAGGCATTTAAATCAAATCGATCCAAAAGCCAATATACATGTACGTATGTTTATTCTCGTGGATGTTAGAGATTACATAATTGCCCCATATCCCTATTTTGGAATTTCATTGATATACATATAATTCTATAAAAAAAAATGTAGGTTAGATCCAGCATCCGAAGCAAGTCTGGTAGTGTCCATCCCTATATGCATCATCCATGCAAGTTTGGTCTGGGTAGGGCTCATAGTTACTTGGGAATGGACCTGCTCCAGAAACTTGAACCTGGTCCCCCCCTTGGGAATTGATCTGCTGCAAAAACTTGTACCTGGTCACTCATCTGGAAAATGTAAGTCAAATCCAGCATCTAAAGCATATATATAATGTCCATCCCTAGATGCATCATCCATGCAAGTTTGGTCCGGGTAGGGCTTATAGTTACTTTTGGACCTGCTCCAAAAACTTTAACCTGGTCACTCATCTAGAAATGTAGGTCAGATCCAGCATCCGAAGCAAGTCTGGTAGTGTCCATCCCTAGATGCATCATCCATGCAAGTTTGGTCCTGGTAGGGCTCATAGTTACTTTAAAATGGACCTGCTCCTAAAACTTTAACCGTGATGCCGACGCTAACGCCGACGTCAGGGTATAGCAAAAGCTCATCTCGACTTCGTCGAGGTGAGCTAAAAATAATGTGGTATCCACTGGGTTCGAACCCTGGCAATAAAAATCAGGAGTTTCATTCTCTATTGAGACTAGCATGCTAACCACTATGCTACACAAGTCCTGAAGAAGAGTGGCATTGACCATTGACTTAGTGGACTTCAAGTATTTTCTGGAAAGATAAGAAAGTTATGTCATAAAATTATATTTTTAAAGAAAAGTGGGTCTTTGTTCCATAATTTTAGAAACCAAAATATGTATATTTGTATGCATATTTTGAGGATTAACTTTCAAAATAATGGAGCGAAGACCCACTTATATCGAAACATAGTGTTTTAGTGTGAAAAAATTAACCGTTTTGTCCTCTTTGTGTGTGTATAATATTTCATAGGCAAATAACTTCAATCTTCATGATATTTTTGCAAGTTGTAGATACTTTACATAAAGTATACTTTAATGTTAGATGAAGTATTAAGGAAAATTTTGATATAATTGAGATTTAATTTTTCACGTCCATGTTTGTTGCCCTAAGAGCTTATTTCGCGTAAAGTTCACCCATCTCCTTTATAAGCATCAGAATTATGTATTTGAACCAGTTTTTATATAATTTATAAAATGTTCATAGTACTGTTTTAAGAAAAGAAAAAAATTACGACATTTTCATGTTGGCATATATACTTCTAATGATTGATTTCTGTTAATCTAAACATCGTTTCATATTTATGTCTTAAAAAATAGGGGAACCTATACATTTTTTACAATAATTGGTAAAGTGCAAGAAGCACTTAGAATCATTTTTGGCCCTGAGAATTTCGGAAAAATCAAAACAGCTCAGTTTAAGTTGAAAATTCAGTATATTTAACTTGGACTATTTGTAACCATGTATCTATTGAACATGACGTAATTTTCTCTCTAGTCCATGCATAATGACGTAATAAAATCATCATTTTCCCCATATCCTGTAAATTCTTTTGAAATTCTTTTTTCAGTATTTCATTTACAGCACAACCTCTAATCCAAAATATGCAATTACATAATGAGATATGTTTCGTAAGATTAAAAAACATTTTTAATTTTTGGATTGTGGGCTGTGCTCATATTCTAATTTTTTTTAAAGAACATTGCATTTTCTCAAAGCCTGTTTTCCAATACTTAGATTCTCAAAAAGCAATTTTATTACAGGAAATAAAAGCACTAAGTCTCTACTTTATTTTGATATATGAAATGGGAAAGACGGTGATAGTTTATTAATTGATATAGTTAAATGAAAGTATATGCATTTAAACCATTAAAATTACTGATGAGGGTGGAAATAAATTCCGTCTACCTTAAGGATATTTTCATGGCTCTCAATTCTTCAACAAACGTTCCTTGTATGTTTAGAAAAGCTTCAGGTGTCTTTGGGAAAATTAAAACATTGCTAAAACATTCAGAGGTAAGAAACATTACAAATAGTTACTAGTATATGGGTCCATTTAGCATATCCACAACTATAAAAAAAAAATCCACTTTTATTTCAATCACACATCTTTGAAAAATAAAAGAGACATAAGTAACAAAAAATGTTACTTAATTTTATTATAACACAAACTCAACACAACGCAATTTTCTGAAGAAAAAAATGGTTTAAGACTGTATCATTGTCAGAATTTTTTTAATAATAATTTTTTATTCTCTTCTCTATACAAACCCATTACACGATTTCCAATAATCACCTTATATCACTAGGATATAATACAGTCATAGCTGTCTTTTCAGGAGGTTGAAAAAACCGGCTAAGAGACAAAGCACTCTCAAAAGGAATTTTGAAAACTGAGGCATGGTACTGAGCGTAGCAGTTCCGGTTTCCTCGGCACTTCATTCCGGACATTTCCACCGAGATATCATTCCGCCGCTCGTTGTCTTCAGTTTATTGGACCTACAGACCACACAGACCCGCCGGCGACACACGCTCTCTTCCTGGGAAATACGGACAGGAGCGTGCCGATCATACTCAAAGTTTCCATACGGGAAGACGGTACCCTCTTGTCCCTCTACAAAAGAAAAATGGTTTAAGATGAGACGATTTCGAAGTTTTCTGATAATGATCTACCCGCTGTTATTGAAGATGTTACGGATAATAATATTTTTGATCAATATTTCCAAAGGAGACTTTTATTTTTTATACATTTATAAATTTGCAACTCAGGGAATTTTTTTACGTTTTGGTACTTTTTGAGATATCGTGAAATTTTAACACCGTGGAATTAAACCAATTTACAGTATACAATTTGAGCCCCTCTTAGATTGAATATTCACATCTACTTTCCTTATTTATGTAGATAAAACGGGTATTGCTGATTTCTTATAGAGCACTGTACTGTTACTGAGTACTGTGCAAAAATATATTCAAGAAATGGTGTAAATCAGATGTGGATATTGCCAGGAACTTTTGGACAATTTGAAATCACAAGATTTCACCAAAATCAACAGCTTAAAAACTGTCGATACGATATGTCCTGGTGAGCTTGGGATAAAACATACAGAGGATGGTGTGGTTAAAAAGATGAGGAGAATATCCACAATGCAATATTTTGGAAGAAATCAAAAAAGATGTATCAAATCAAGTTGTCGTTTCCGTTTTCCATTCAAATAATTATACTTTTTAGCGATCCCCCGCGTTACCCAATGTACTGTTATTATATAGATAGAATTGACTCACACTTCAGTCTTGCTTGACCCATTGTATTATATGTATAGGTAGTTTTGTACTTCTATGCATAACATTTATATGCATGGTCAGGCACGTAGCAACAGGGGGGGGGGGGGGGGGGGGGCAGGCACGAGGCGAAGACTTTTTTTCCCAACACTACTTTTACTATTGAAAATGTTCATTGAGAGGCTGCTTGCCCCCCCCCCCCCCCCCCACTCACCCCCCCCCTGTTGATGATGGCTCCACCGGTGATTTGCCTTAACCATCATTCAAAAATGGGGAAGTTTACAAACGCAAGGTGTGTAGACTACAAATTTAGCGGTTTTTATTTTAGTGAATTTTTAGAAATCGCAAAAATAGGCCAAAATTATATCCCCGCCAAAATAACCGACTATCCAATGAACGTTATTATGACGTCACAATGGACAATACTTGACGTCGTGCTTATGAACGTTACTAAGCAATTTTATATTTTACTATAATTCCAATCTTAATTTTATTTATTGATTCCCTGTCTTTTGATTGGAAAAAAAGAAAACAAATTCAAGAAAAAGTTTACACATCGATGAATTCTTCAATTAGAACTACTTTCTTGACTGTTGTAAAAACATTGAAAACAGATACTTCTAGTCCGTTTTAGCTAGGAAATAAAAATGAATGAATGAATGATCGAATGAATGAATGAAAAGAAGATAAACAGGACTGACAGACGGGAATATTATGTTTATATCACTGTCGGATCATGAGTGTGAATTTGAAAAAATCGCTGATTATGCTGTCATTTTCTAGACGTTCAATATCAGCTCAGTTGGTATCGTTGTGACAGGGAAAAGAAACACACCTCAGATATATATATCTTTTTAGCATAAAATTCACATGTTTACATCCTACAGATCCCATATTCTCCCTAAATCTTTGAACGAACCAGAGCAAATCGAGGACATCGTCGGTCTGCATCTTTCGTTATGACGTTGTTCAACTTGTTGTTAAAATGTCAACATGACCATGGTCAAGGACGAATTATTCTGGAGAATACGCGTATTTACGATATTTGTTGACTTAAACAACATTCAGTGAGTTTTTATAAGTTTATTTATTGATTGTTTAGACAGTTTAAGTTGGATTTTATTGATATTCATCTTGTATATACGTTTCTTTGCGGCATAAAGTATTCCTACGCCGTACAAAATAACGGATTGTATGGCGGCCTCAAAGGGAAATAATTTTAATAATTTAAAAAAATTCGTAATTGGAATTATAAGAATTAAACGTTCTTTTTTCAGAATTTATCGATGTGTAAACTCTGCCTTTTTACTCACAAACTTTACATAAAAGTGCTTCGCACTTTTATTCCGTTTGTGAGTAAAAAGGCAGAGTTTACACATCGATAAATTCTGAAAAATGAACGTTTAATCCTATATTAAAACTGTCTGAAGAGCCATTAGGCAGAAAGCGCTAACAGTAAAAATGATTTTCGAGATTTGTGATTTCTGACTTTTTTTCATTGGATATATTTTACTGTACCAAAACACTGGATTTTTCTTAAATTATATATATATATATATATATATATATATATATATATATATATATATATATATATATATATATATATATATATATATATATATATATATATATATATATATATATATATATATATATATATATATATATATATATATATATATATATATATATATATATATATATATATATATATATATATATATATATATATATATATATATATATATATATATATATATATATATATATATATATATATATATATATATATATATATATATATATATATATATATATATATATATATATATATATATATATATATATATATATATATATATATATATATATATATATATATATAATTTAAGAAAAATCCAGTGTTTTGGTATATATATATATATATATATTTCTGGATATTTTATATCATGATTCCAATAAAGGTTACCTATGTTTCTCTAACAAAAGAAAAATCCACACTCTTTAAGAACTTTAAATAAGAATAAAATTAAATCCAAATTCAGTTTTCAATTCCTGAATTTGTTTTCAAATTAATTGATATTCAGGATACAAACATATACTAAACAATGAAAAAATAGATTGAGATACCAAACAGAGATTGATCTAAAAAAAATTCTATTAACAATGGGTTTTGAGAACAGGGCATAGCACACAGATTCCTAAATACCAGAAATGAGATCAGATACATAAGAGCGAGCATCCTTGTTGGCTGGTCACATCACATTTATTACACCATACTCCTTGAACAAGATCTTGCAAACGGAATGATTAAATAATGTGTCATATCAATGCCGAGACCGGAGGTCATCTAGTATAGTATTTCTATAAGGAGACAAGAGTGTTTAAAACAGTATAGATACCATCAACATAAGTAAGCTAATGATGCATATCAAAATGGAGACCAGAGGTCACATTATATTGTACATGATTAGGAAGACAATATGGACACTTATATTGTACAATAATAAGAAGACTAGAGGACACCTTATATTTACATCAATAAGGAGACTAGAGGTCACCTTATACATGTGTAACGGGCGGTTGCCCAATAGTCCCAGAATCAATTAACAGGAATCGATTTCAGTTTTAACCGTTTATTTAATTACAATAATAAAACATCTATAACAATGATAACAATGCTTACAGGTCAAATATAGACCGCTCTCTCCTCTAAACACGTTCACTTCCTTCGGTATAAAAATCAGCACTCACCAAAATTACAACAGTCGTCAGTAATAATACCGTCGGGCTAACCCGGGCCGGGACGTACTGTGACGTCATACTCATAACATAAAAATGACGTTTAGCGCAAAATCAATAGAACAATAAGTATAATTACGCTAACAAAATAGCAATAGGTATATTTTATACATAATAAACATAGACTTATGCTAATTTAATATCAGTCAATGTACAAAAGTAATAATCAATTACTGGAATATTAATTAATAAATATTCAATCAAGATCTCAACTGTCACACTCCCCCCTTCCCAAGACCTAATGTACCATGTACATTAGTCTAAATTACTAGTATTAATTCAAATATTCAATGGACATTCAATGAAAATCTGGACAAGTATTAATGCTACATAAAAAAGCATAATTAATGATACTGACATGTCATAATAAGCAATAAGACATATGTACATCTCATAGTATATAATAAATACTAGTAATTAAGATATAAAAATGTTAAAGCAAACAGTATCAATGTAAAACTAATTAAAGTTCACAGATTAAAGTTAATAAAAATGAATTACACTTATTATACTAATGTCTCACTGTTCTGGAAAAAGTTCCTCGCGCTCCAGGAGTTCCGATATCTTTCTCTTCAGTGCGCGGTTCTCGCTTTCCAGTTCGCGGAGGGACGATCCTGGTTTTTGAAGTTGTTCTAAGCGCTCCTTCGCCACCAAACGCACACGGGCAATCCTATCTATCTGGCTACCCAGTTTAACGATATATATTTGAAGTGAGTCCTCAGTGGAAGGTATGGGAGGGATATAAAAATCATCATCACAATATGAAAGAGTCTGTGTAGATCTGGACTGAGGTTTCTTTAAATAATCAGCAATGGATATTTTCTTGAAGTTGGTCTGTGTTGCTAGTGTTGCAGGTTCCATCGAAGAAAGAGGAGATTCCACCATCGAGCAAGAAGACGGCTCCACCAACGAACAAGATAACGGTGCCAACGACGAAGACGAATGTGCCAACGAAGAAGATGGTTCCAACGACGAAGACGACTCCAACGACGAAGAAGACGGTTCCAGCGACGAAGAGGACGGTGCCAACGTCAAAGACAGATCCAACGAAGAGGACGGCTCAGTCACCGGGGGAGGAATCACCACAGTCCCGGGAGCAACATTCGCCATCGAGGGGAATCCTGTGGAGGAAGAAACGCCGGCTGTCTGGGAAGTCTGGGCACGTCGGAAGTTATATTTCAAAAGCCCAGGGTCGATATAATTCGTGGCCCTCACCATCTGGCTGGTTGCTTTGGCAATAATGGCTTCAAGGATGGAAGGATTAGTCTGCTTATGAATGAATTTCAGGTGACTCTTCATGTCGGATTTCCTTCTGACCAGTGCATGGCATCCTTGGTGAGGGCACGCCCATTTCTGAACCTCCCGAA